TTTATAATCATTATTATTCAAAATGATGAAAACTTTAATTATATTTTTATATATGAGAATGTAAAAAAACTTTATATTAAAAAAAGCTTCTAGTATATAAATTACTTTATAGTATATATTATTTATTTTGTTTATAAAAAAAAGAAATTATTTTGAGTATAGAATAGAGTACAGTAACTGTATACAGCTGTTTGTCGATTTCAAAAATCACACCAAAAACAGGCGTTTTGCCCTATTTATAATTATAAAAAAGAAATATTTAAAATCATTGAATTTAATCAAAATTTTTAATAAGATTTTATTATATAATAAAGAGCTTATTATTCGAATTTTCATTATTTTAAAATAGATATATACTGATATTTATAAGATTGAATTAATATTAAAAGAAAAGTTCTCAATTTTCGCTTATTTTATTAGTAAATTTCAATATTTTCAATTTCTATTAACTTTCTATATAGATTTTATAATAAATGAAAATCTTAAAAATAAATGATATTTTTTTTCTTAAATTTGAAATGAAATTTATTAGTATATATATTATATTCATTCAATAAAATATAAATAACTTATATGAGTTTTAGTGTAATTTTAGTATTCGACAAATAGCTATACTCTAGTATTATATATAAAATTAAAGAATAGCTTTCAAAAGGATTTAATATAAAGAAACCTTATTATAAAATATTTATAAAATATTATTTTCAAAATATAATATAGAAAAAAAAAGTATCTAGGTCATACTCACCTTATTAAATCGGAACATTTCATAGAATACAATAAATAATTTTGAGCTTTTATACTTAATAATAATCTTATAACTTTTAAGATTAATAGATTTAAAATAAAGCAAATTTCATTAATAACTTCAATTATTTTATATACTATAATAAAACAATTTCCTAATAAAAGCTTAAACCTTATACTAGAAAATATTTTGAAATCTTAAAAATGTTTATTATCCCCTAGACTATCATCTTAGAATACCTTTTATAGCCCGTACATACTTACAATTATTCATAATTCAATAAACAATATTACAAATAAAAATCTTTATATTAAATTTGAAAGCTGAAATTCATTAGAAAAATAATAATAAATATATCAAATATATTTCTGTGTTTTTTCATTGAAGAATAATTATTAAATGATTTTAAAAATATTATTATATTTCATTTCCTAAAATAAGAAATATTCACAACCAATTTCTAAACAATTCTTAATTCCTATTGTGCTGATTGGACAACGATCCCTGTATAAGCGAGGTGTCCTTTATTAATAGTCTAGGGGATAATCTATTACTTATCTTTAATAAAAATATTATTAATAATAAGAAATATAACATTACTAAATTCTTAATAAAATTTTGTTTAATCATATAAAATTCTATTATCTAAATTCTTATTGATATATTATTTTGAAACGATTAATTTGTTTTCATAAGATTATTAAATTACTTATAATAAATAATATTCAGAATATGAAAAAACTATTATAAAATTATATTATAGAATTTTTACAGATTCTAAATCAATAAAAAGGGATTATAAGAATAAATCTTATTTTAATATACTTAATAATAATAAGAAAATGAATCGTAATATTAAGCTAAATAACGAGGGTAATAATATATTAATTTTAGTAAATAATAGTAATAATAATAACCCTAACTTAGTCTAAACTAAGATTTAGAAATTTCTTATAAAGATAAAAGACTAAATTATTCTGATTTAAATTCTAATGAAAAATCCTTTGAATTTTCTAAAAGTAAAAGATTAAGAATAAATGATTCTAAGTAAAACGAGAACTTTCTTAAATAATACTAAGTTTATAACTTGAAGATTTCTATAATAATTAAATCTTTTAATATTCAATAGTTTTATAAGAAAATATTATATACAAAAAGAAGATTTTTAATTACAAAAAAATGAAAAAGGAAAATCCCTTCAAAAAGCTTTATTTATTTCGAAAATTATTCTTGATAAGACTTTTAATATATAAAAACGAAACCTTTTTATAATACTTATAATTATTTTATATAAAGAAACAAATATAATATAATTCATATATATAAAAGTAATTCTAAAGTATAATAGAAATTATAATATATCGATATTAATTATAGCGTTCTTATAATATATAATATATTATTAATTATTCAAAAAGAAAGTTATAATCTTTATTAATATAGAGTATATACCATGTTAAAAACTAATATTATAATTTATTTAATATTTATTATATAATTCGTTTTAGATTATTAATACATCAAATGTGAATTAAGATTAGTTATATGACTACTAACCTTTTTTATTAAAAAACTTTAAACCCTTTATATTAGAGGAATAATATTAATAGAATGAAATAGAAATAAAAACAATAGATTTTAAATAAAATTCAATTTAATTGAAGTATAAAAAAGAGAACATTAAAAAAAAAATATTCTATAATATAAAATTAAAATTGAATTTGTTTATATTATAAATGAGATTCAAAGAATTCAAAGATTAAGAACTCAAGAGTAAAGATATTCTTATAACAAAATGATGATATATTAACTATAAGATTTAATATATTTAAAGGAATTAAATAAAGTAAAAAGAAATAATAAAAATTGATAAAAAAGAAAATGTAAGGATTGTAAAGGAATAAACAAAAAGATTTTTAAGATATTATAATTTAATAGGATTTTATAATAATAAATCTAAATTATTTAAAGAAGAATAGATTTTCTTTATTTTCTTATTTACCTTATATAATTAGTATTACTTAGATATATCGTATAGTTAGTATAGTTTAGCTATAGATAAACTAAATCGATTAAGAGTTTACTACTACTAATAATATGATTTATTAATAAACAGATTATATTAATAAACAGATTACTTTCATCTCAATTTACTTTTTTCTTTTTCAACATATATTTTATTAACAATTCATAATGAATTCGAATAATAAAGAAGTGTGTATACTCCTTACTATTAAAGTTATTTAAAGAAATAAAAAAACAAGTATTCAAAAGGTTATAAAGATATATAATATCTTGAATACAATATTATAATAAAAAACAAAAGGTTTTATTTTTCGTTTTAAATATTAATCTAAATCTTATAATCTTTTAGAACTAAAAAAGATATTATTATTGAATATATACTTAATATAAATTCGAAAGGTTTTTTATTTAAATTTAAGAATATAAAAGATATAATAAATTATATTCTCAAATTAAAGAATATAAAGAATATTAAAAAGTTTTAGATATATTGATTTATAAAGTGTTGAATTAAATTAAAAATATGTTTTAATTATGTTTATAATTTTTAAAAAGTTTTTCTAAAAATTCTAAACTTATTGAAGAATAATTTCGATTAATTATAAATATGTAAGCGAAATATAGCATTTTGAATAAAGATTTCTATAATTTCAACGAAATGGATTTTATAATAAAGATTATATATATAATAATAATTATTACTAATATTAAAAAACACAATAGAAATAAATCAGTATAATTAGGCAATCAAGAATAAGCTATAATAATAATATATAGAAATAAAAAGGATAAAACTATTTTCTTATTTCTAATAATTTAAGGACAGGTTTATTTCTCTAATTAATATATCGAAATCAATCTTTTTATAAAATAAGCTATTAAATTTATATTTAATAGATAAACAAATAATACGATAGATTTAATATATATATTAAAAATTGAAAAAGAGTAAATATCGAATATTAATATTAAATAAATATGAAAGTTATAAATTAATAGTTTTTCAAGTAGATTTTAAAGAGAATAATATTATATATCTAAAGTTATTATTATATTTAAGTTATTTAATTTAGTTATTTAATATTGATTATTTTAATAATTTGAAATGTTTATATAATGTTTAAATTAATAGATTTATTAAGGTATATATTAATCATATTTCAAAAATTAAATTCTTTATAGCTTTCAAAATTTTATATCAAAAATCAATCACTTTTTAAAATATAAATTCAAAGTTTCAAGGAACAAGCTTAATATTATTTAATTCTAAAACTATATTCTTGAAATTGAATATTCGAATTTATATATTTACTTTCTCTTTCTTCTCTTTCAATCTAAATTAATGAATTTTTCAAACTCCTTACAATTTAATAAAAACTCTTTCTTAATTAATATTAATTAAATCTTAAATAACTTATTATTAAGTAAGTTTCTCTATATTTATATTCGAGATTGTACTAACTTTAATTAAAAATATAAGAAGATTGGTTTATAAAAATATACTTTTGAATATAAAGATTTGTACATTTCGAAAGGTAAATAAAATATTAAATAAATATCAATATATAAATTTTTTTAATTATATTAAAAAGAAATATTTATTAAATAAAAAGCTCTTAATATATTATCTTAATAAAAGATCAATATTCAAATTCAATACAACAAACATTAAAAAAAAAGGAATTCTAATAAAAAAAAAATTTCTAACAAATATTATAATAAGTATGAAAAGATAGAACATAATACAAGAATTTATTAGAATAATATAATAAACCCTAGATTATTAAATTCTTCATAATTTTAATCAATTGATTCGATGATTATTAAATAATATAGTTTTGAAAATATAAATTGAAATAAAAGTAACTCATTTACTAATATAACCTGCTCACTAATAAACTACGTTATATAAATATATAAATTTATAGGAGAATTTCAAATCAAATTTCTTTTTGTTATTGATATTAACTTTATTATTATAGGATATTTAAACTTTCACATACTAATGCCTATATATAGTGTCAGAGCGGAGGAAAATCCGTGAAACCTTATATCAATATAATAATGAACATGGAGTTCATATTATATCATATCATATCATATCATATCATATCATATCACATCACATCACACACATATTGAATCATTAACCCCGAACCTCGGTATATATCCACACCCCAGCAGCACATCTCCGCATTTGAGAGGAGCTTGGGGTTCGGGGTCGAGCTCGAGGGTCTAGGGTGCGTGTTCTTGATATTCTTTTGTTATGTGAAATTATTATTTACTTGTTTATTACTCACTCGAAATCAGAATCAAAAGTTGATCGATCAGAAATCGAGTTTCCTATCTCGAATATTCCAATTAAGGTTAAATTACCTTCCATATTCCAATTTTCAAAACAGTTACTTGTGGACTTCAAAATTCAAATCTATCCTATCATCTGTAGCATCAGATTAGCATTAGCATCACCATGACGTCGATGCAGAATCAGAATCAGAATCAGAATCCCGAGATAATTATATTTCATTATCAATTTTCGCCGTTTGCTAAGAGGTATTTACCAATCTATTTATGCATCTCTCTATCATCTATCATTCATCATTCATCTATCTTCCCATCCCATCCCAACCCAACCCATCCCATCCCATCACCCCATTCAAACCCCCATTCCTAACCCCCCCGAAGAATAATATGGTACCTCACACTCCGCCAAATCCCCTATTCCGAATGTCTCCAACCCCCCACCATGCCACGCCCCGATATCCAAGCGCTCGGAACCCAATATCGACGTATTCCTATCGTGTGTATCGGTCGTGATATCTACCACGATACGCGATTGATTCTTCGCAAACTAGAGGATTTGTTTCCCGAGTATCCCAAAATCTCAGGGACGTCTACTGAGCAGGTGGGGATCGAGAAACTTTTGGAGATATGGACTGTGGATGGATTATTTTTGCGCGCGGCGCAATTGTTGCCACTGGATTTACCGTTGTTGGGGGATAAGAAATTTACAAGTGATCGCGCGGATTACACGGGAAAGAGTTGGGAGAGGGGAAATTTGGAGAAAGGGAGACCGGAAGCGTTGGCGGCGTTGAAAGGGGCGTTTGAGGGTTTGGAAAATGGGTTTTTGGAGGATGGGAGGGAGTGGATTTTGGGGAGTGAGGGGCCGATGTTGGCGGATATTGAAGGTATGGTTGTGTGTGATGATGATGATGATGATGGGAGAGGGGGGAAGTTGAGAATTGATACTGACTCGAAGTTTAGCCGTTTGGCCTTTCCATTGGTTAACCACTTTACCTGGTGCACTACCCACGAACTATATTTCCGCGCAACAATTCCCCAAAACCTTTGCATGGATCTCTCGATTCGACCAAGCCACTCAACTCGTTGCTAAAAACATCCCCAAGCCCAAACTTCTCTCTGGAGCAGAAGTACTTGAAATGGTCTCCACATCTGATTTCGTAGAAACTGATGAACATGTCGATTCGCTAGATCCGACAGGACTGCAAAAAGAACAGGAAGTAGAAGTTTGGCCAACTGATACGGGGATGAGTGGGAGGGATAGGGGAGTTTTGGTGGGACTGACTACGAAGGAAATTGTGATTGAGTCGCGGACAAGGGAGGGAGTGAAGGTGAAGATTCATACTCCGAGACATGGGTTTAGGATTCGGGGGATGGGAGAGATGGGGTCGAGACTTTGAGGTTTTCTGCTGTTTTTCTCTCTGTGGTGATGGGATTGTGAGGCGGGAGGTGGACTTGACGTGGGGAGGTGGGATGGGATGGGGTGGTGATCTGTTTGGGGGGGGGGGTGGTGTAAGATTACTTAGATTGTAAGAGTTAACCTTATGACCGTAGCTCGTCGCACCCCTTAGCGAGATTAAACCAGCTACAGTCACTGCGCACAGCTAATTGTCGAATATCAAAATCACACTAAAAACCACAGTCATTTTATTCTATTTTTAATCATAAAAAATAAATATTCAAAATCATTAAAATCAGTTAAAATTCTAGACGTATTTTTATTCAATATTCAGAAATCCAAATCTGTTTTTTTTATGAATTTAAAATATAAGAATATTATTACATATAAGATTGAATTGATATCAAAAGAAAAGTTCTTAATTTTCGCTTATTTTACTAGTAAAGTTTAATATTTTAAATATATATTAACTTTCTATATAGATTTTATAATGAACAAAAATTCTAAAAGTAAATAATTGTTATGGAGGTACCTGTTACAACGGATTAGTAACAGGCTGTAGAATCACTGACTTATAGGCTATAATGGTATTATAGGCCTCAGTGATTCAGCTGCAGTATACCGGGGGACACTAGGCACCCAAGGAAAGCCTCAGGCATGTATATAGTATTAGTTATAGAATACACTGAATCATAGGACATGGTTCCTAGGACAGTATGGTCCTAAGAAGAATAAGCAATACAGGACACAGTAAGCAAGAGAGGTCTTGCTAGGATTAGTAAGCTCCCAAGGGATTAGCCCTAGGACAGGAAATAAGACAGGACGACAAGACTCACGGGACTAGTATCACGTGATGGACCATCCCATCAGTCCCACCGATTATTATCAATGGGATCAGTGGGATCCCACTACGCCCACTACTCTCAGTGAGTGGGATCGATGGGATCGCAGAGTGCAAAGGTCTATATAAGGGAAAGGGTTTCCTTACATGTAGAGCTTCGTGCTCAAGAACAATCATTAGTTTCATTACTATAGTTACGAGAATTGCAACCAGTTACAACCTTATTGAATTCCTACTTGAAGTCTAGTCTAAACCACCTCGAGAGATCTCTAGACACTTCCACGTGACCCTAGAGGCAGCTCCCGTAACAGTACCCGTACTACAACATGAATTATAAGGTTAACCAAAGGCCTTAATATTAGGACCTACGAAAATAGTATTATAGGAATAAAAAGATGAAAGGGTAATTAAAAATAATAGTAATTGAATAAATAAATAGTAATTAAAAGATAGATATTTATCTTTTGTTAGTATTCATTTTATAGTAGGTATAGAATATATAATAGTTATAGGTTAGTTAATAAGTATAAGTTAGATAATAAGTATTAATTATTTAGTAAATATAGGCTAATTAATAAGTATAGGTTAGATAAATAGCGACCTTATTAGGGATTATAAAATAAATATTATATAATTAAAAGCCAATTGATTTATTAAGTTGATTAATTTGTTAATCGATTTTAAAAAACAAAGATTTATATAAAGAAATAGGATTTATTATAATATAGAGCTTTATGTTTAAAACAATTATTAGTTTTATATTATAATTATAAGAATTGTAAATAGTTATAATCTTATTGAATTCCTACTTAAAGTTTAGTTTAGATCACTTTGAAAGATCTCTAGATACTTTCATATAACCCTAGAGGCAGCTCCCGTAATAATAATCTTATTTTTATTAAAATTTAATTAATAATAAAGAGATTAATATGAAATTCTTTACATATATATTATATTATTATTGAAAAATGTATGAATAATTTATATGACTTTTAGTATGATTTTAATGTTCGACAACTAGCTGTGCCCTGGTACTATATCTTAATTTTGAATTATAAATTTAAATATTCTATTATAATTCGAATCTTTAGTTGTTTCAATTCAAATTTAGAAAAGATATTGATATTAATAATGAAAATAATTGTTATTAATTTAATCAAAATTGATACACTACTTAATAAATTAGAATTATTTAAATTAAAATCACTAGAAAATCCTGAAATTAGATTTATTTGAACTTGAGTATATCGAAATCTATTATATAAAGTATTTTTAAATCGAAATTAATTTAAAGAATTAAAAAAGAAAAGATTAATATTTAATTTCTAATGATTATTACAAAGATTTAATAAATTATAAGAATTATAAGAAAAATTTGAAAGGAATGTAGGAAAACCTTTAAATAAATTAAAAATGTTCTTGAAATGAAAGCTTTAGTATATGTTTGTATCACTTGAGGGATCGAGATTCGAATCATTAGGTAAAGTACTATAAAAGTCTGTACAAAATGAATAATATGAATTTAAATAATCTATATAAAGATATAATTCTTCTCCTCCTTATAAGGAAGGAAAGAATCATGTGATTCGCTCAAGTACGTAATCGTACGTTTCGATAGTATATATAATTTAATAGAAGTTGTATTAATTTGATTAGAAATAGTATATAATATATTCTAAGCTTTTTATTTTAAGGAAGTAAGTAAAAAAGAAGTTCGATTTTACTTATAATTATTAATAGTAGGAGATTTCATATTATATTGCTATTAGGAAAGAGGGAGGGAATTAGAGAAAGGTTATATAATTTAATAAAAGCTTTTTTAAATTAGAAAAGATAGAGAGAATTTAAATTATTAATGTTGGACCACCTAACTAGGGGCGCGACATTACATATTACGCTTTACCCTATATAACATAGTTTATTAGTGCGTATATTATATCAATGTGTATACTACTTTAAAATTATACTAAAATCACGGGTTTTTTAATATTTATATTTTAATAATTAATCATTATTTTTGAAAGAGAATAAAATATTTAATAAAAATTATAATTCAAATATTCAAAAATTTAATTTTTATACAAATATTTTTATTATATTTAAAAAAAAAGATTGAAATTGTTACGATTTTCGTTGCGAAAAAACTTCTTTTATAATAACTATTATATTAAATTTAATTTTTAATAATTGATTAAAAACTCTTATTATTTATATAAATAATTATAATGTTTTTTAGAAAAAATTAAATTATATTAATAAATAAAGAAAGTATATGATTATATATAAACAAATTTTATATATAAAATGAGTAGTGTATATACTAATATAATAATATGTACTAATAAACTACGTTATATATAGAGTATATAAGTAGAGTAGTTATATATATATAAATAGTAAGTATCTCTTTATATAAAGAGAATAAACAGAATTATAATAACGTTTTATCTTATATACTTTATATATATATCTTATTAAGTCTATTTAATAATTAGAAAAAGAAAAAAAAAGATATATTAAATGTATTAAATTAATATATTATTTTGAAAGAATATTTATTGTAATATAGAGAGCTTTAAATTGGAATTGTAAATTTCTTTTAGTTTCTTAAGAAAAGTTATTAAGCGATAAGAGTATTATTTTAAAGGTATATAAGGAATAAGTAAACACGAAAAAAAACTAAGAAAAGTTTTTTCAAAATAACTCTCTAATTTATATCGCATTCGAACTAGGGAATTATTCTATACTCTCTTTTATAATTATTAAGTCAATATCTATTTGAATTAAATACTTATTATTATTAATATAAGAAAGCAGGTATATTTTATTTATATAAAACATTTAAAATAATTATATTAAACAAATTAATAAAAGAGATTTCTTAAAGATCTTAATAATAATTTAAACCTTTTAGTATTTAATAATCTTATAAGAAAGTTTTATATATATAAAAAAGATTCTTAAGTATAGGAAAATGAAGAAGAAAAATCTTTTTATAAAACTTTAAGATCTTTTTATTAAAGGGGGATTATTAATAAAATGAAATGAGAATGAAAATAGTAGGTTTTGAATAGAATTCAATCTAATTGAAGTATTAGAGGGAAAAGATTAAAAATAGAATATTTTATAATATAAGATTGAAAATGAAATTATTAATATTGTGAATAGGATTTTAAGAATTTGAGGGTGAGTAATTTAAAAATGAAGATATTTTATAATAAAATAGTAATATATTAATTATGAGATTTAATATATTGAAAAAGTTGAATAAAATAGAAAGAGATAATAGAGATAGATATAAAAAGTAAGGAATTATAGGAATTATAAGAGAGTAAATAAGAAGATTAAATTTATAATATAATAAGATTTTATAATAATTATAATAATTACATTATTTAGAATACTAAGGTAAAGAGCTGAAAAAGCTTTCAAAAGAGAAGTGATAATATATAGGATTATAGATCATGTGGATCCCTAAGTAATCTATTAATATGACAGGATTATTATATTATTTTTTCCTTTTGAAAAACTTATTCTTAAGTATATTAATATTTTAAATATAATTCTATAATCTAATTATATTATGATCTATATTCTTTATTATTTTTAATATTTGGTTTATAATTTTAGTATTAGTTTTAATATTCTTTATAATATAATTTATAATGTTATTAATTATTTTATAAAAATATATATTTTATGATTTTAATGCTTTTATAAAAAAGACTTTGAAATTAATAGAAGGAGGTTTTGAGAATTGTTGAAAAATAAAATAAATTAAGGAAAAAAGATTTGTTTGAAATATATCTTTTATTGATAATATTAATGAAAAAGTAATAGGAGTATTAATAGAATACAAATTAATCTGGTAAATCAATTAAATAAGCTATTTTATTATAATATTAATTATACGAGTATATTAATATTTTAAATTAATTAATTCTTATAATTTGTATATTAGATTTAGAATCTTTGAATTCATTATTAATAAAGTAGAAAAACCTTAAATAATATAATAGTAAAGTATTAGCTTGTTGGGAATAAGATTTGTAAAAACGAAGTTAGAAAGAGGTTTTAATTGAAAGTTATATGAATGATTGTATTGAGAAAGTGGGTATGGAAGATAGTAAGTAATAGGTATTCGGTAAACAAACTAATGGTAGGAAGCTTTATAAAAATAATTAAGAGCTTTTTTAAAATTTATATAACCTTAATATAATGTGACAATTATATTATTTAAAATATTAAGGTAAAAAGCTGAAAAAGCTTTTGAAAGGGAAATGATAATATACAGGATTGTGGATCATGTGGGTCCCTAAGCCGATCCACTAATATGACAGGATCGTCATAATAATAGATTCAAATAGATGTTAAAAGAGGATAAATCTTTTACTATTTTTCTCTATTTACCTTATATAATTGAATATATATAAGTATACTATATACTTAATATAACTTAGTTATAAATAGATTAAATTAATTAAGACTTCACTACTCCCATTAAGGAATAAGTATTTAATCCTATTATTTTCTCCCTATTTAATAAATTAGAGCTCTCTTATATCTTTATAAAAGATAATTCAAAGATATATTTAAAGTATATAAAAACATTTAGATCGAAGTACTTTATTTGAGATATTCAATGGCCTCTCTTTTTACTAGATCTTAATCTAATTAAGACAGTATAATAATGAAAAAAGAGAAAACTAAAAAACCTATTATTTATATTTACTTTTAATTAAAAAGTTAAAGTATAAGTTAAATATACTTTAAAAAAGAATTAATCCCTTAGATTTCAGGTCATATATTAAGAGATTAATATATAAATTAGAAAATGTTATTAAAGTAAAGAAACTAATTATTAAAAATTAATAAATAAATTAAAATTAGATTTTCTTTTTTAAAGAAAAGTATTAGAAAATTAAAGGAGGGGTATAAAAAATTATAATTATAATTCTTACATATTATTAGAATATATAATTAGGAGCATAATATTACATGTTATACTTTACCCTATATATATATTTCGTATATAAATAGAATTAATATATATATATATATGTATAAATAGTAAATTCCTTTTCGTGTGAAAAGAGTAAATAGAATAAAATATAATTATTTATTCATATACTTCATATATATATACTTTATTAAGTCTACTTAATCTATATCCTATATAACGTAGTTCATATACAAATAAATCATATTACTGAATGAATTATTCAATTTATATATAAAATTTATCTATATATAATCATATACTTTCTTTATTAGTTAATAGAAATATTCGAAAACACTTTACATAAAATCTAATCTTTCGGCTATTCTAAAAATCTGATTTTTATTTCAAAATTCCAAGTATTATTAAAGTTATCAAAGAAAAGTAGTTTTATAATACAAAATGTAATAATTTCGTACTGAAATGATCTTTTTAGAAAAAATCTAAATCTTATAAATATTTCATTATAATTGTTATTTTGACTGATTTATTCTCTTAAAAATAATAATGAATTATTCAAATAAGAATATTAAAAATGACTCAACATTCGATATTCTAAATACTTTCAATATAATATTCAGATTATAATATCATATAACGTAGTTTATTAGTGCATACACTATATTAATGTATACACTACTTTTATTTTAATTTATACTCTTCAATCTTAATATATGATTTATTAATTATTTATTATATAATCGAATAATAAAGAAGGGAGAATATTCTTAATTATTGAAGCTATTGAAAAAGATAAAAAACTCTTGATTCGAAAAGTGTTACAACAGACATCACATGACACATTCGCATGTCACGTGAGGGAGCCTTGGGGAGCCACGGGCTCCAGGAGCATACGGATCCCAGGGGCTCCAGAAGACGAAGGTCTATATAACAGAATGAGTTTCATTATAATATAGAGCTTCGTGCTCAAGAACAATCATTAGTTTCATTACTATAGTTACGAGAATTGCAACCAGTTACAACCTTATTGAATTCCTACTTGAAGTCTAGTCTAAACCACCTCGAGAGATCTCTAGACACTTCCACGTGACCCTAGAGGCAGCTCCCGTAACAATTATATTAAGGAGAAGTATTTATTAAATAAAAAGCTTTTAATATATTATCTTAATAAAAAATTGATATTCAAATTTAATATAATAAGTATTAAAAAGGGAATAAATTTAATAAAGAAGTATTTTTTATTTGATATTATAGTAAATATAGAAAGATAGGTTATAATATAAGAATCTATTAAAACAATATAATAAATTCTAGATTATTAAATTCTAAATAGTTTTAATTAATTAATTTAATTGTTATTGAATAATATGAGTTTGAAAGTGTAAATTGAGATAAAAATGATGTATATATTAATATAGTATATGTATTGATAAACTATGTTACCCTAAATCACGAATTGATAATTTGATAATACTTTTCAATCCAACTTACTAAAAAGGAAGGTCATAGAATAATATGAATTATACATACTAGGTCAGAAGATCCCAATTCGTGATTTGTAGGATCAATAATACAAAATGCTTTGATAGACATTGAGATCGGATAGTCTACCTTGGTACTGACTGATATTGTTCTCGATTGATTATTTGATTGATTGGTCGGAGATAATTTCCATGTAGGATGGCACGTGGATGGGTGAGGTTGGAAGGGTTTATGGGGAGGTAAGCAAATGAGATTTCGGGTGTAGATATCATACTGGTACACTCTGTACAGAGTACTCGATTATACGCTGTGAAGGTAGCACGTGAGAGATAGATTACCAAGAGGAGATGGGCTACGTAAGCGAAAGGAAAACCGACGGAAATTGATCTTTTCGAGTCTATCGATGCATTAATTAGTTACTTGTTTGTTGAATTATTGATTTACATCTACAACAAATATTAGCATCTCAAAGGATCGAATGCAAATTCGAGTCTTCGTTATATTGATCATTGGAATTTCTGATATTGAATGTCATTTCAGGAAGAGATCTGGATTGTTGAAGTTCTTTCGAATGGTGATCAGTTCCCGCCTGTTCTTTCACTGATGTAGAGATGGGCTCTACGAAAAGAGTCTGATTCGAGTATGTAAATCTTCAATAATGAAATGATGTTTGAAGTAATTGAATGAGGATTCAAGCACATATGAAAGATATAGACAGATGGATACAGGCCAGAAGAATTATTAGCTTCGCTTTTGTTATCTGAATGATAATGGAGGATGAAAGTTTATATGTGGTTAAGAGGAGCAATCGAGTTATCAAACATCCAATGTTGTATACGGATAGCCTAGGTAGATTTTGTGTGATTGACGGGTTACCGTAATGAGGAAGATTGGAAATATACTTTTGCCATATGGTTGGTGCGATTACCTAGTACCTGGGTATGAAGGATCTGGCTGGACGCTTTCTTATCTAGGGAGGTGGGATGATGACTCAGGTAGGTAGTTCTTTTGTCCCTACTTCGTAGTATATAACAATTATCAAAGATATCATCACGTGAACAGACACAAGAGGGAGGAAGAGGTCGAATAACATGGTATAACTTATTATGAATAACTTCAGACCTTGTATATATCATTCCGACATCACCCATTGGGCATTGACATTTGACATTGATTTGTATCAGTCATCAGTCATTAGTCAGTGCACGTGTTTGAAATTTACTCGATTGTCTATTGACCTCTTACGATAACTCCTGGAAATCTCTTGGCACATTGACTCGAGATTTCCACCGTCGAAGCTTGTCGAGCTTGTCTCCTGGTGAGACTGTGAGTTCATTGGCTTATTAATTAAAATTATATGCATTCTTCATCCTTCTCGTTCACCATATCTTTCCCCATTGGTAACTTTCATTAGTCATTCATCCCATTTTCATCTTTTCCCATTGGTAACTTTCATCTTCCTCTTTCGAATCAAGGAGAGGATGGGAAATGAAAGAGGAATAGTGTCAATTAAAAGCATGAACAAAGTGGAGCATTCTCTGAAATGAAGACATCTGATTGGTTGGAAATGTCAAGCACGCTAATGTAAACGCACTCTCATCCATCCGCAAATAAATCAAAGAGTTCACATCGAGCGTCATCATCATCTTTCGTCATCGTTTTCTTCCCTCCCTTTCCTGCAACTTTCTTACCACCACCACATCATCGTATCTGTATTGTATCGTATCGTATCGTATCGTATCGTATTCTTTGCAAAGTCACGACCAACACTCAGAGAGAAGCAGTCGAAGAGTCGAAGAGTCGAAGGAGAAATAATAATAAGCCTCGACTCGATTAAATTCAATTTCATAACTTTATATTGAAAACAGAGCCTCGTGGAGAATTAATTCATTCACTCATTCCCAGGGGGAGATTATCAATTTATTGATTAAATTGTTATTTCCTTTCGTTCTGTCGGTCGTTTGGGTTAAGGAAGAGAGGAGAGAGAGAGAGTGAGAGAGGGTAATAACTCTGATTTGGAATTCGCATTTGACTTTGAGTCTTCATCTAATAAATGCTTTGTTAAGAAAAAGGGACAAGGAAAAAGGAAAAAGGAATAGAGAAGAGCGAAAAGAGAAGAGAGAAAAGAGAAAAGAGAAGAGAGAAGAAAGGGAAAAAAGGGAAAAAACAAGAGAGGGAAAGACTTCCTTTTTGAACAACAATAAACCCACTCACCCACCCGTCGCAAATTTAAATTTCATCACTTTTTTTTTTTTCTCGCAATCCAAATCCATCCATTTCTTCTTCCTCCCCCCCCTTCCCCAAAAACGTTACGTCACCGCTATATTCATCCATTCACTCAACCAGCGAACGAAACCTTCAAACTTTTTGAACATTTGGGAAATCGGAAGAGATACAAAGTCAAATTCCAAAGAGTTAATTAATAGCAAATCTTGGAAACTTTCTTTTCTTCCCCGCCGCCCGTGTTTCTATATTGGAATTTCGAATTTCCATCTGAATGAGATAAGGTATCAGAGATATCTCGTACCAAAAGATACACTGACATCATATTCCTTCATCCATCCATTCATCCTGTTGCTGTGAATGAATGATTGATCCATCAACAAATTCACACAATTCACTTCGATCGAGATAAGCTCAAGTCAAGGAGAGAACCTCAAGTCAAGTCAAGTCAAGTCAAGTCGCAAAGGAAAAACAGACATACACACAGACATACCGCAAAAACAAATAGTAATCGCGCAACACGACGAAACCAAAGACTTGACAATACCACACCATACAATACCACACGCCCACACACACACGCATACAACTTCATACACGTCGCCACCAAGAATCATCCAGATCACTGAGCATTCTTTTCAAGTATCAAGAAATCAATCAATAAAGAACAACGACAACATCAACAACAACCACAACCACAACACAACACAACAACGCAACAACCACACAACAATAACGCGACTAGTAAGAACTTTACATCAAGGAATAAATCTACCCGCCACCAAGATACATAACAACCCCGATCCAACATTCAACACCACCCAACCCACACTTCCACACTACTGCGAACGCCCATATTACCAATTCATCCTATAGGCGAACGTCTCTTCCACTATTGACACTCTCAAGTCCTTTAAAGAGTCTTCCCACCTTCGTCATTATATCGTCATCATCGTGTATCCTGCACCTGCAATACGATACGAATTAACGACATTTGTTACCCAACCTCTTTTGATATCCTCCATCTCGACGGCTTCAAGGGTAATCCATTACGTCGTCGTTCAATATCTTTTACTTTTTCTTTTCCTTACTAGTCATCCTCTCTTCGACATTTCATCATCATGCCGACCTTTTCCAAGATCGGCAGTAGTCCTGTAGAGGAAAAATTTCTACCACCAGGTAAGTCATCAATCAATTCCACCATCCCTAGTCATCATCTCGAGTCTTTCTTTTGACCTTGTTCCATTCTATCATCATCAATTAATCCAATCAATTTCATTTCGATACATTTGATACTTCTGATCTCTCTCATCTATCGCCTTCATCGCCTCCATCTCCTCCATCTGAAACATTGATATGCTATACATAAGTGTGACGAAGTAACTAACATCACTCTCTCACATAGTCGCCGACTCAACAGTACCAGATATCACGGTGAAGCCCGTTCAGTTGGATGTCGGCCGACAACTCCCAAACATACCTGTACCTCCACAAAACAACATTACCGATTACTTATCAAAGCGAGCGTTGGCGAATAACTCGCACGAAGAGGAAGAAAATCCTTTCGACTCACAATTTGGAGGGGGTCCGGTGAAATCAAATCTACCTGCCAAAACTCCTGGTGGGACCTTGTTACCTTCTATTCAAGCTTTACAATCAGCATCTTCGCCTGGCTTTGGCTTGAGTGGATTGAGGTCTGGTCCGTTAAGTCCTAATATGCTCACCGGTCCTAAAGAACCTGCCGAAGATTACTTCTCCGCAGATCATACTTTGATCAGTGATGGTCCGAGAGGTTACACTCCCGTAACATCTGACTTGAGGGGTATGCATTCAAGGGTGTTACCAACTCCAAGTCCTGGTGGATATAGTTTTGGGGCTGGAGCGGTGCAAACACCGGGGTTGGCTGAATTCCAACGAACCGCCATTCAAGCGGCGAGTCTTGCTGCCCAACAACAGAGGGACATGAATGTCACTTCACAACCTCAACAACACAACGAAGATAATCATAATGTCATGAGTAACTATCCTGACAACGATTCTTTGAATGCCGCCGCAAGTCTTCAATTGTTGACTCAAACTTCCGCCTCGTCACGCGACTCTTCACCACATCACAATCTCGCCTTGGGTCAATCAAGGCAGCCACCATTCTCTGCACAACAACACATCTTGAATCGCAATCATCAAATGTTGAATCAAAATATGCAACCCGTTCAAACTAATGGTCAGGTACCCGGTCGACCAAACAATCATCCTTTGACAAATGGCCATTCTGGAACGAGGAATAATTCTATTCACTCAAATTCAATGAGCCCTCCAAGTAATGGTAATGGTCTTCCGTATGATAATGACATGAGTGGTCAAAATGGTCAAGGAAAGAAGAGAGCAGCCACCAAGAGGAAAGCAAGTACCAACAAAACTCCACCAAAGAACAACAAGAGGACGAAATCTCAAAAGGGTAGTGATGATTCGAAACCAGAAGAATTCACCAATGAAGACCTAGATAATATGGATGATCAACTTGAATTTGAAGAAGAAGAGAATAATAACAACCACAATGGCAAACCAAAGAAACCAGAGACTGAAGACGAAAAACGAAAAAGTTTCCTCGAACGAAACAGGTAGATTTGATTTTTCTTTACATTGTTTGTCTCACTAACAAATTTCCCCAGGGTTGCTGCTCTCAAATGTAGACAGCGTAAGAAGCAATGGTTGAACAACTTACAAAGTAAAGTCGATTCGTACACCAACGAAAACGAGACTCTTCATCAAAAAGTTCAACAAATGGCTCATGAAATTATGCAACTCAAAACCATGCTTTTCGCTCACAAAGATACTCCTATTGGTATTCAACAAGGAATTGCACAATATATCGTTCCTCCTCTCTACGATGACATGCCACCAATGCATCAATCACAAAATCCCTATGGTTTAGGTACAATGCCACCATCTCAAAATCCTAATATGTAATAGACCTATGGTCTTTACATTTTCACTCGCAGTTCTGGATTATCAAAGGGACAATACATTCGCTTGGCTTTTCGATCACCTTTAGGTTGTACATTAAAAAAAAATTCTTCTTTCGATTGTACTTCATATATCATTGGGATCTAAAACTCCAGTTCGCTTTTCCTCTGGCTGAAAGTAAAGCATATTGGTATGATCTTCTTGACATCACCCTTTTCTTCCTTTATACATATTCTACTCTTACCTCTCTAATATTCCATGGACGGATTTCAAAATCCGGGGCCGAATTCTTTTTTCAAAAAATTCATGATTACAATGGAAATAAACTCATGCATGATGGGGGCGTATATCTATGCAAAAGGCGCTAGGAGGGGGTGGAAGGTTTTGATATGGTCACCATAATTAATGGTTTGGCAAAAGTACACGCATACATGACGAAGAATGAGAAGATTCCAAGTTCATGGTTGGGAGGCGCATGAGGAATTTGGGAAATGGGGTGTTTTTGGAATGTTTTTTGTTGGCTCCCCTTTTCTCTTCTTTGATTGAAAGAAAGGAGTCGGTTTTTGTTTCATATTCTTTTCTTGGTCTCCTGGAAATGAAATGAAATGAAATGAAATGAAATGAATGGGAGGAAATGGGATGGGGGGGGAAAGGGCGTTGAAGGTAAATGAAATTTAGGCACATGGTGTTGGAGGGAGGGAAGGAGATGATTTGATAGTAGTAGTTGGTCTTTTTTCCTTCTTTTTTTGGACCTACAGATAAAGAAGGGGGGAGGAAGAGAGAGAGATACGGAAATTGAAAATTTTATAAACTTGTGTGATTTTGAATATTTGTATGGGTTTTGTGGTTTGTGATTTTGTGGAAAGTGAATGAATGATGGATTTTATGACTTTTGAGTTTGACTTGTGAATTGTAAATCTGTAAACCTATGAAGTATAGATGAATAATAAATGAATAGATGAATTTAAGACTTTTACAGTATACATGTAGATAGATTAATAGGTTGATAGGTATTTATTAATATTTGATAAAATAATTAAAGATATATGATATAAATTAAAATTAAATATAACTTTTATAAATGTTATTTTAATTTAACAAAATTCTATAGAATAATTTATATATATATTTTCTATATAGAAATAAAGTTTTATAGAATTCAAGTGAAAAATAAAAGAGATGTAGTATATTAAAGTTAACAAGTTAATAGAAATAAGTATAATTTTATAATATATTTTAGATTTTATATATCTCTATTAATTTCGAATCTTTTATTAAAACGAGTAGAAGAGTTTTCTTTTTCATTTCTTAAAATAGAAAAGTTATTAGAGATTGAAATGAAATAAGTAAATTAATGTCAAGGTACAGGTAAAGACTTATATTATATTATAAGAGTAAAAGGACTATGAAAAGATGAGGCTCTACTTATAGAAAGTAGAATATACTAATGATCTTGTTGATATCATCAAAAGAATAGTGAAGTCAATATAGTACTTTAATTCATACTATTATTATATTACTTAAAGTTTTTAAAAGCTAAGACTACAAAATATATTATTATAATATTAAAAGATATTAGTGTTAATACTAATATAGTTATATAATCTCTATCCTAATATTAACAATTCTTTAAAGTTATTGAATTATATCCTTCTAATTAATATCTCTTTTGCCTATATAACCATTCATCTTTCTAATCTTTTTCAATTTATTTTATAACTTTAATCTTTATAGTATTATTATTAATTAGGTCTTTTAGGGCTTAATATGACTTAAATTTAGTCATTGTATCTATAAGATTAAAATCTTTATTAATCTATTTAATCTTTATAATCTCTTGTTTCTTATATATCTCTTAAATTACTATTATATTAATCATTAATCTCTTTTTATTAATAATTCTAAGTTTTGTAAGATAATTATAAAGTAATTTAGAATTGATATATATAATTAATAAGATTTTATTAATTGTGCCTTTGATTATTATACTAATATTAAAGCTGTTACGGGAGCTGCCTCTAGGGTCACGTGGAAGTGTCTAGAGATCTCTCGAGGTGGTTTAGACTAGACTTCAAGTAGGAATTCAATAAGGTTGTAACTGGTTGCAATTCTCGTAACTATAGTATGAAACTAATGATTGATCTTGAGCACGAAGCTCTACATTGTAATGAAACCCATTCCCTTATATAGACCTTCGTTCTCGTCTGGATAGCTTGGGTAGACTGTCTATCCTGTCTATCCATCACGTGACACTTGCCCCGTGACCTATATGATACTACTGCTTATCTAACCTGTGCTTACTAGATAACCTGTAACCGCTATCCCTCCTGTGCCTACTGTAGGATAGGTGCCAACAAAAGATAGGTACCTATCTTTTAATCATTGCTTATTGATTCGGTTACCGCTATCTTTCGTTACCCTTTAATCCAACTGTCCCTACAGTGCTGTTTTCGTAGGTTCCAACACCAAGGCCTTAGGTTTATCTTATAATCCATGTTGCGGTGCGGGTACCTCCGTAACAAAAGCCTAAAATCATAATATAAAGTTCTAATACTAATATACTTTTAATGACTTTCTTATACTTGATAAATAATTAATAAATAATATTAGCTTTATTATGCTTATTTATTAAAACAATAATTCATTTAATTTAAAAGAATAAATCTTTATTATTAATAAAGAATGTATTAATGAATACTATTAGTTTTAAAGAATTTATATCAAATAAAACAAATTATAAATCTTTCTTCGAATTATCAATCTATTATTAAATATATTTATTAAGAGAATCAACACCTTCTCTCTTAAAATTGATAATTTGTATAATATAAAATAAATTAAAAGCTATCTTTAATTAATATATTATTACAATATATACTCCTCAAATATATTATATAATATATTAATCCTTTATTATTATTAATTTTCTTAATTTCCTATATATTCTTTATATATCGAATAGTTCTAATTTAATTAGATATAAGTTTTTACATTAATTCTTTTGATTGAAATAAATCATATTATTATTTTATTGAATAATTAATTCGTTATTAAACTTAAATAATATATTTAACATAAGTATCTTATACTTTTTTATTATAAACTTAATATTATAAAATTATTTTTATTTATAATCTACAAATTCATTATTAATAATAATAAGTACATTATCTATTTATAATTCTATAATATTAAATACTATATCATCTTTGATTATATATAGAAGATATAAGTTATAAATTGATTATATTATTTTGAGAATATTAATATAATACTTATAATAAATATTAAATTAATAAGTGTTTATTTTCGAAATACTATATAATAGTTATATTACTTATAGAATAAAACCTTTTAGAACATCTATTTTCATTAATGATTATATATAGAACTTTCAAATTAAATTCAATATTAATTATATATATACTTATATAATATTATAAATACTTATAATTACCTTATTATTTAAGAATATAACTATTATTAATAATATATAACAAAACACATATATCTACAAGCTTAGATTATACTAAGCCGTACCTTCCGACTATATAAGCTCTAGTATTAAACATAACTACAATTGTTGTTAACGGTGTAAGTGTTACAACGGATTAGTAACAGGCTGTAGAATCACTGACTTATAGGCTATAATAGTATTATAGGCCTCAGTGATTCAGCTGCAGTATACCGGGGGACATTAGGCACCTAAGAGATGCTTCAGGCATGTATATAGTATTAATCATAGGATACTCTAGAAATCTAGAATATAGTTCCCAGGATAGTGGGTTTTAGAAAAGACAGAATACAGTAAGTAAGAAGGCTTTATTAGGATTAGTAATGTTCTAGGGGATTAAGTTCCAGGACAAAAGGACAAACTAGGACAATAGGAATCATGGGATAAGTGTTATGTAATCAAAAGTCAATCGACTTATTAGTCGATTTCAATATGAAGGTTTATATAGAGAATGGATTTCATTATAATATAAAGCTTCGTGCTTAAAAACAATCATTAGTTTCATTATTATAATTAATTACAATCTTATTGAATTCCTATTTGAAGTCTAATCTAAACTATCTCGAGAGAACTCTAGACATTTCTACATGACCCTAGAGGCAGCTCCTGTAACAGTAAGCATTATAGCGACTATTTCTATAAGGGCGCCGATCGCAACCGATCCCTAGTTCACTCGCGATTGATTATTACTTTCATCCTTATTATTCAATTATAGCAGCATAAATGCCTATAGCATAGAAGCTATGAGAACCACTATATCAAGCCCGCTGATAACAAGAGGATTCTTTATTATAATTTAATTTAATACTTTTGATAAACAAGTACAATTTAAATATAAGGTTTATAAAGTGTTCGAAGGAATACTTTATTAATTTAAAGCTAATAGTATATTAGAAAAAGTAGCTTTTAGTAAAGAAATATATAATATAATAATAAATAATATTAAAACTAAATTATTATAAAATACAATACAATCTTTAATTAAAGATAAGAATAGTAACAATTTAAATCATATTTATATAGATATTATAAAGACTTTGAAAAACTTAAGTGCATTTATAAACATAATTATATACATATAAGAATAGACTAATAAATGGAAATCAATTAAACCCTAGAAAATCAGAATAAATATCTATCTATTAGTAGTAGGAATTACTATATCAACAATAAGCTACCTAAACGCTTATATATTAAAAAAAAAAATCAATAAGGCTATCCCTAATCTAAAAGATATTAATATTATAATTATTCTCTCTATAATTATTAGGTGGATAATATACACTATTAATAGTACTATATATAATAAACTTCTTGAAGCCGAGAATACGGAAAAATCAAGAAGATCCTAAATTATAATAATTTGAAACAATCTATAATCTGGTATTACTATATACTAAAAGGAATTTTAATCTTTTTCTATAACCTAAATAGAAATAGAATACTAATTATTAAAAAGATAATAACTAAAAAAGTATTAATATAAATAGGTATTCCTTTAATTAATTATCAAATTATTATTTAAATAATTAACTTCTATAAATAAATCTGAATTATTAGTCTATTAAGAAAAGTCTCTTCTTTCAAGCTTTTTAATAGCTTCAAATAAGCTTAATATATTAAGCTAAAGTAGTATATTATTTATTATAATCTAGAGTATTAAGGTTTCTATAATCTAGTAATATATAAAAATACTCTAAAATATAATAACTATAGTATCCTATAAATAAACCATAACGGCTCATTTGGGCCCAAGTATAAGATCAAGATTGAATATATAAACTATATAGAATTATTCCTGGCTAGATATAACAGCTATTCTATAATACTATATCGAATTAATAAAAAAGTTATATGCTTTACAAAATTTAAGGTTTATAAAATTAAGAAATATAATTGAAAAACTCATCTGATCGTTAAAGTACTAATTAATAAAATAGCTATTCTACTTATAATAACTCCTTAAAGTATAATAATAAAAATATTCTTTCGTATTTATAAAAAATATATTATTATATATAAAAACCTAGGTAGTTTTTAATATACCTTTTAGAATATTTTCCTAGTTAGTAGCTTGTTTAAGAATCTCTATTATTTTAAAAAGAAGTATT